TGCCACCCTCATTGCATACTCCTACGATAAAAATAATGCCCTAAAATATAATACTTTTAGACTATTCTCTCCCCCATAGACTTCAATGTCTACAGGCCGTCTTAAGGCTGAAATCCTTCAAAAAAACACATCTTCAGGTCTTGTCTTTTCTTCCAGAGAGATTGCTGGCAAGTTCAAATTACCAAGCTTATGATCAACAGATTATCTTTTAACCATTGTGCCACCAAAATTCCTTAAAACATGGTGCTTAATGACTTGCAAATTAGCAAAACATGTATTAACAGAAAAAAAAAAAGAAAAGAAAAAAGAGTGGAGAATGGTGGGGTTCAGAATGGGATGTGTTCCCTGACATCAGTACCTGAATGAGAGGTGCTTTTACTCCCCAGCTGGGTTTCTGACTGGCTGTGGCTGACGGGTGTGAGGTCCTGGCAGCTTTGGATGGGGGAGTCCCTTCCAGTCGGGTCGGTACCTGAAGGCTTCTCAATATTTTTCATCTCCATTTCTTCATGGTGGATCCACAGGTCAGGGGGTCGGAGGTCTTTCTGGCTGCCTTTCCTCTTGCCCACACTGTGCGTGGCCCGTTTCCTGTGGAGCAAAGTTGGAAGGCAAATGTGAAAACTTCCCCTCAGTGGCTATTCCTCTCCTTTCTCAGTTCTAGTTAGAAGCCAGGAAGAAAACAAAAGGGCTCCCTGAAGGAACCTTGTGAAAGCCAGGAATTGGCAGACACATCTTGGCCGCCATTCCTGGTGGCCCCTGGAGCATTCCCACATTGTAGGGGATGTATTGCTAATTCCCAAGGGCCCCCACCTGCCTGCCAGAGAGTTCCATACTCCTGCTTCCCTGGCCGCTGATTCATGCAAGGTGACAATGGGGGAAATGGAGCCATATGCCAATCTTTGGAGCTGGGCATAAGGTACCTGACGGTAACATCTGTTTGGGAGATAAATGAAGGAGTAGCTTTGAAAGGGCACATGGAAATAAAAAGGCCAGAACTGGTGCCAACTACCAAGATCATAGCTTAAAGGGAAAGCAATATTTCGTCTGTATGATTTAATGTGCAATTGAGAATCTTCCCATCTGAAAACACAGACCATGGGAGGACATTCCAAGAAGAATAAAACACTTTTGTCTTAGTATCTGTGATGTCTGGCATGAAACAAAACAGTACTACTTATATTTTGAAGAGAGAAGTTTAGAAATGTGCTTTATATCTCTCTAGTTTCTTCACCACGCATGTTCAAATCGTACAGTCCTTTACTTCACTGGCAAGCTCTTCTTGAGACTAGGAAGATTTCCTACATGATACTTAAGTAGGATGGTTCACATTCTAGACATTTTGTACATCAGAAGTTCAGAACTGCGTTCTGCAGCCAAATAAGTATATTGCTAGTTTTAGTAAATAAAATTTTATTGGAAAACAGATAATCCATTCCTCACCCCCTGCTGCAATCACTAAGTTGAATAGCTGACATTAAGTTGAATAGTTGAGGCAGACAATGTCATGTCCACTTAGTCTAAAACATTTATTAGTTAACTATTTTGAACCCTCTTCTACTGTTTCATAATTTTGAATATCTTTTGGAGTCTCTAATTTTCTGTGTCTCTTCGAAGGCAGAATTCAAAGAGTTAAAATTAGCTTTTGGCTACAAAGGGAGGCTTCACCTTCTCATTGTGCTCATTTACCGTGGAAAGGTTAGGATGATGTTCATGAAGAACTTTCCATGGTTGCTACCTGGTCCAAAATGTGCTCCTTTCTTGAAAGCACTTTGAAAACTTTACAAGGTCAATGAAAATTACTTTGATCTTCCAATTTCCAAATGAGGAGCTTTATACATGTTAGGTAATAAAGAAATGTTTAGTGGTGTGCTTTGCTGAGTTTTCCTATTCTTTTTGAGTTTCTTTTGACACAAGCTAGACATTAAAAAAAGAATCTCAGCCTTAATATCTCTTCCATAGTTTAGTAGAGAAATAATATAATGTTTTCTGCTTTCCTATTTCCTAACAACCACCTGCATTTTGCTGATTTCTTGGCAGCAGTCCCACACTGTCCCCAGACAATGGATGACAATGACTCCGCGATCATTCTCCTGCGTTAAGCATCCATTCCCTGAATTCATTTCCTTACATGTCACCTGCCTGCAGGAAACCAATCTGTTACTCTCACAGAGCAATTTCTGTAATTTACCCTTGGTAGCGTGGAATAATTTAATGCCATCCTCCAACTTGGAGGTTTCACCCTTTTATCTCTCTTTCTACCAAATGAAAAAACACTAAATAACTCTGAACTCAGTGCCTACATGGTTGCATACTGAGAAGGACAAGTTCCCTAATCTCAGGATAACTTCATATTTAAATATCACGGCAGAGAGATGAGCAAGCTCCATCAGTGTATTGACAGCTTTTGAAAACATGCTGGAGGGTCAGCTACGAGGGGAGGTATCAATGAAATGCTGAAACTGGAGGGTCAGCTATGAGGGGAGGTGGAGGGTCAGCTA